GGGAACACATGGGCTGCGGGTTTTTTTTTCCCTTGGCCCGCGGCGGCTGCCCATCCTGCCGGCCGCGGTTATGGATTCGATCATTATTCAGGAGCGTTTAGTGGAGAAGCTGCTTTCCCCGCGGACGCAGGCACAGCGAAGCCACCCGGGCAAGCTGAAGGTACCGGGTGTATTTATAGCTCGGCGCGAGCTGGGGAGCAGCGGGGACAGGAGGGGGGAGGATGGTGCCCGAGCAATCGCAGGACGGCACCTCCGAGGAGCAGGAGGGCGGAAGGAGGCCGGTAAGGGGACGAGGGCAGGGGCAGGAGCAGCCCGGGGCAGTGCGGGAGCGCGGCCGCCCCCACAGTGCGGCTCGGGCACCTGGGGGATGTGTGACGTTCCCGGGCGGCTGCTCCGTGTGGTGATTCCCGGGGCTGGATGCCCGTGCCTGGGGGGGCTCAGGGCCCAAGCTTGTGCTGCGTGCGCACCCGAGCGCCGTCTGCTCTGTATTAGCGGGTTAAGGCTGTGTTTTCCTAGCCTGTTCTTCCTGCTGCAGCAAATGCCGGGCGGCAGGCGGTTTTGCTACTCTTCTCATCTCAGCCTTGGGCGTGAGGGGCAGCTGGACACGGGGAGATGCCCCGGGGCTGTTTGTGTCAGGAGCCCGTGGGGCTCTCTGGAAATGAAGAAACGAAAGCAGAGGGGCTGCCTGTCCCGGGGCTGGGCTGCAGACACTGCTGTGGTGGGGCTGGAGGGCCAGGCTGGAGGAAGGGCGGCCGGCGAGGGGCTGCCTGGGGCTCTGCCGCAATTAGAGAGCCCTGAGCAATTAGGGGACGCGGCAACCCAGCAAATGGCTGCAGCTGGCGGGCGAGGGGCATCCTGCTGTTTGTGTGTTCGGAGGAAGGGAAGCAGATTCAGGAAACATTTGGGGCCCCAGGTTTGGGTTGGAGCACGAGCATCCCAGCAAAAGCTCCATCATTTGAGGGGCTGCCTGGGGCTCTGCCGCAATTAGAGAGCCCTGAGCAATTAGGGGACGCGGCAACCCAGCAAATGGCTGCAGCTGGCGGGCGAGGGGCATCCTGCTGTTTGTGTGTTCGGAGGAAGGGAAGCAGATTCAGGAAACATTTGGGGCCCCAGGTTTGGGTTGGAGCACGAGCATCCCAGCAAAAGCTCCATCATTTCTGCGTTTGCTGCAGACCTGGGATAGAGGTCCCTCTTCAGTTTTCCATGGCCCCACAGTGTATAATTTTGGCTCTTTTTAATGCACTCAGCAAGGCCCCATTTCCAGGATAAATGGTGAAAAGGCAGCAGGCCTGGATTGGCCTGAGCAGCACGCGAAGGAGGAGCAGTGAGGAGGGAACCGGGAAAGCAGGAGCGATGGAGCCGTCACAGCAGCCCGGGAGCCCCCTGTACCTGTGAGGGCTTCCCCTCTGTGCAGCCCAGGTCCCCAGTGTCCACAGCCAGTTAGGGACAGGGCCTGGGCCCGTCAGCGCTTTGGCTCTGGGCACACACTGCCTTGGGGAGCGTTGCCTGCTGCCAGGGTGCCCCGGAGAAGCCGGGGCGCTGCTGTCCTCGCTGGGGAGTTTGTGCCGTGGGAGAGAACCACGGGGGCTCTGGTGGGTAACGGGGCACCGGGGCCGGCTGCCTCCCCGGCACAGCCCGGCCTTGTCCCCATGCACACACACCCGGGCTCCGCTCGCCGGCCCCTCGCTGACAGCTGCCGCCGGCCGGGGCAGGGAGCGTCGGCAGCGCCGGCTGTCCCGGCCGGGCAGCTTGGCAGGAGCTGCCTCGCAAGGGTCGGGAATGGGGGGCTGCGATGCCACCAGCAAACCACGTCTGCTCCTAGCCTGACCCCTGCATGTTTAGGGGGAGCCCAAGCCTGTCCCCTGCGTGTTTAGGGGGAAGGAAGCTTCCTTTTGACAAGCCAGGGAGGCACCTGCCTTCTTCCACCGGCCCTCCCGGCCCTGCACGAGGGTCCTGAGGAAGAGGGTGAGTGACGGAGCTTGGAGCTCTTGCCCCGCTGCAGGAGCGGAGCTCTGCCCTCTTGTCCTTCGTGCAAGGGAAGCGACCACCAGCTACAGATAAAGGGCAGCAACCTGCCCCAGCCAGGATTTACACCTGTAAAATGGCATGTCCTGATCTCACTGGGCTGGGAGGAAGCCACCAGAGTTGCAGTAAATCCAACTTTCTGGATTGGCCTGTATGGAAACAAGAGATCAGGTTTGGCCGGTTGCACTTGGCTCAGGTGAGCCGAGTTACACCAGAGATGAGCTCCGCAGTGTCTCCCCTGTCAGCCTTAGTCATCTGGCCTAAAAAACAAACAAATGAGAAGAAGAACCCAAATGAGCCTCAGCAATGGTTTTATTCGTGTGTTATTAGCACTGTTCTGCATGTAAAGTCCCTGCAGAGAGCAGGCAGCTGGTGCTTTTCCAGAAGTTGGTAGAGATCAGTGCAGATCTCTCTGCTGCTCCTGAACCAAAGCTTTTCAGTGTCAGAAACAGTGGAGGGGGGAGGCTGAGTTTGACCCCAAGGTGCCCAAGAGAAGGTCTGATATTGATGGAGAGATGCTCAAGGTGCATAGGGGGTTGAACAGGATGGATTTATTTAAGGACTTAAAAGACGTGGGGAGCCCCAGGAACCGTACAGAGGGGGTGCTGATGGGAGGCTGCCTCAGACACGGGCCGGACACCCAGGTCGGGTGCCCAGGAAGGACTCAACTCATTGTATCCTAAGGGCCCCTTAAATCTAGCAGAGCCATTTCCTTATCTCAGCTGTGCTGACCTTGAGAAGCTGCTGCCCGGGAAGCGGCCAGGCTGCTGACACGAGGGAATAGCCCTGCCGGCCCCGGAGGAGGTTGCCCAGCGAGCGGTTTCACACGCCGGGGCTGCTGCTGGGGGCCTGGCCAGGCCCGGGCGCCTCGCAGGCCTTGTCACTGCAGTGAGCCCTGCGGGAGCAGGGGGTGGTTGTCCCCAAGGAGGTACCGCTCCACAGCGCAGGGGAGCTGAGCGCAGGGGGAAATGAGCAAAACCCTCTCGCGGTGACGCTGATCCTCTCCACTGTGCCATGCTGCAGCACCCGCCGGGGCAGCTGACCGGCTCCGGAAAGGAGCTGGTTAAACTGACTGGTTGGGGACAGGTGCCTTCTCTGCCGTGCCTGTGCTGGAGCCATGGGACAGCAGATCTGCTTGAGAGCATTTGTGGCCAGGCTGGGAGCTGGGGCCGCTTTTGAGGAATGCTTGGCTCCATGGATTTGCTTATACTGTGAATCCCAGGGGCTTATTTTAAGTGATTTTGAAATGTGGGCTCTCTGATGTCTCTAGCTGAGGCATTTGTGAATGGCTGCTTCCTCTCGGGTCTAACTTGGAAAGTATGTGAGAAGGGCAGCGTTTGCCAGGGCCAAGGGTGCTCCTGTGGGACGGCGCAGTCCAGTGCTCCTCCAGCCCCGCGCTGCGAGCGCAGGAGCCGGCACCGAGCTGGGATGGGGTCGCTGGAGCGGGTCTGCAAATTCAGGAGGCAGCAGCGTGCGTGGTGGCGTGTGCTGACCTGCTGCTCTCCGCCTCTACCCTGCAGGACCATGAGAAGCAGTACGTGGGCTTTGCCACTCTCCCCAACCAGGTGCACCGGAAATCCGTCAAGAAGGGTTTCGACTTCACCCTCATGGTCGCAGGTGAGGCTGCCCGGCCGCTCCTGCGTGCACAGCTGCCCCAGCAGCTCTTGGGCTCTTGGGCTTGAGCTGGGGGATCACTCAGTTTTCCAAAGCCCGGCACAGCCAGCAGTAATGCTCCAATAGCTCATTGAAACCAGGAACATGGCTGGAGGAATTAGCAGCTGAGTGAGCCCTAGGCTGACTGTTTCCAAGTCCTTTCCCAGGGCAGGAGGCTATCAATTCTGAGAGCAAAACCACAGTGCCTGTGACACTGCTGTCTCCTGGCTGTGATTCAACGGAGCTGGGGTTTCACTCTCCATGCTTAACCCTGGCCCCTCAGTTTGCCCTCGTATTTACTGTGATATGTGCCCAGACACCCTAAAGGCTCCACACCGGGGATGGAGATGGCTGGTCAGAGAGTGATAGAGAGGACCAACTCTTCCTGCTTCCCATAGATGCTGTCTTAGCTGCTGAATCCTTCCCCTGTCTGCTTACACCTTGCTTTAGCCCTCGACTTGAGTCATGGTCACACGCTTACCCCAGAGGAGCGGGCCCTCCTTGCCCACCCATAGCCCTCTCCAGCACTGCGTGTAGCTGCTGCTCCAGCAGAACGGCTGCTCCGGGCTGTGCGGGCAAGGTCAGCCAGGGACTGTGATGAAGGGAAGGGAGAGAGGAGGTGGAGGAGCTGGGGGATCACATTTGTACAAGGAATGAGATATCTTGCAGCAAAAGTCCTCCCACTGCTGGAAAAATGTAACACCCATAAACAGCTCCTGACAGCTCATCTCTCTCACTCTGGTTCTGGATTCAGAGCCTTGCTCAGAGTTTCTTTTGTATCTCAATTAGTGGGTCATGTTGCTTGCTTTTCCTCCTCCCTTCTGTGCTCTATCAATTAGGAGAGTCGGGTCTGGGCAAATCCACCCTCGTGAATAGCCTGTTCCTGACAGATCTCTACAAAGACAGAAAGCTCCTCAACGCAGAGGGTAAGTGGGGGACAAAGTGGGGCAAACATGTTCCACAGCTCTAGGCTGTCCTAGAGCTGAGATGGTCATTGGTGTGAGTGGTGATCCCCAGCGTTACAGCCTGGCCTTAATTCACCTATTCCTGTTTAAAGAGAGAATCAACCAGACAGTGGAAATTGTCAAGCACACAGTAGACATTGAGGAAAAGGGTGTCAAGCTGAAGCTGACCATAGTGGACACGCCAGGCTTTGGAGATGCTGTTAACAACACTGAGTGGTGAGCAGGCTTCTCGCCTTCCTCCTTGTCCCTGAGCACCTCTGTTTTCTGTGGGTGCATCACAGGGAGGGGCCTGGCATTGGGAAGGGGCTGCAGCAGTCCCTTGGGAGCACTGTTCTGTAAAACATGTGGTTTGGATTTGGTCTGAATTGCCGTCCCCAGCTGGAAGCCCATCACTGACTACATCGACCAGCAGTTCGAACAGTATTTCCGAGACGAGAGTGGCCTGAACCGCAAGAACATCCAGGACAACCGCGTGCACTGTTGCCTCTACTTCATCTCGCCCTTCGGGCACGGGTGAGAGCCCCGCTGCAGGGCTGGGGGCTGGCTGTGACTCCCACCCGGGGGAAGGGGCTCGTGCCTCAAGATTGCCCCGTAGCAGCCCCGTGTTGGCAGGGCTCTTGGCACGGGTGAAGAGCGGCGGGCTGCTCTCAGCCGAGCATCACACAACCTCCCTCCCCTCGTGGCCGTGACAGCCACTGCCCTCGTGATCAGGAAGGACTGATCACCCTCAGGCCCGCAGTCTGTTTTGGAAATCAAGAGAAAAAAGAAAGGGCGCACAGACTTGTGCCTTCCTATCTATTTAAGCCTGACTAGTGGGAAGGGGAGGGAGTTTTAAGTTACCTTCAGCCTGTGCCAGGCCTTGCACACATGTTTGTGTGGGAGCAGCCGCAGGGGCTGGGGGCACTGGCCATGGGCGCTGCCTGCAGCACAGGCTGCAATGTTTGGCCTGTGAAAGAGTGAGTACCCGACCCGGGTCTGTGTGAGGCGTTTCAGCAGCTCAGATCTGAGACAGCTCCTGAAGATGCAGCCCTAGCGGAGGCCCCCCCAAGCTCTTGTGACAGGGCTGTCCCTGGCCCTTCTCACTAGGCCTGGGGTGAGGTGGGAAGGGCTGGAGGAGGAGCTGCCTGGGGTGTCCCTGCTAACCCCTCGTCCCTGCTGCAGGCTGAGGCCAGTGGATGTCGAGTTCATGAAGGCTCTGCATGAGAAGGTCAACATCGTACCCCTGATTGCCAAAGCCGACTGCCTGATTCCCTCTGAGATCCGGAAACTAAAAGAGAGGGTGAGATGATCTTCCTCTATGGGGAAATGTCCTGATGTGGCAGCAGAGACATGCAGAGCAGGGGGAACAGAGGAGTGCCTGCAAATCTCTTTTTAATGATGCTCTGAGAAACCTGTGAAAAAGGAAGCACTGTCTAGAGAGGGCAGCTCTGTAGGAAGCATCCTACTTCCCCATCTGTGGGCTATAGCAAAGCCATGGCAGCAAACAGGGAATAAACACAACATCTCTGTACTGTTCACTGTTACCTCTTCTTGTTGCTTTGTATGGACACAGATCCGGGAAGAGATTGACAAATTTGGCATTAAAGTGTACCAGTTTCCAGAGTGTGACTCTGATGAAGATGAGGAATTCAAACAACAAGACAGAGAGCTGAAGGTAAGGAAGCGTCTCAGCAGCATGCTGGATCTCTGACTTGTGGGAGTCCATGTTGTCCATGTTGTGCAGCCTGAATGGAGCCAGAGCTGCTGTAGAGGTTCACTGCCAAAGGCAGTGCAGCTTGCAAGTTCAGTTGCCAAAGGCCTGTGCAGCTGATACCCAGGGAACAGTGTACATTGGCTCTCGTGAAAGACAGCCTGGAGAAGGGAGCCGATGTCCATCCTGATGTCATGAAATCACATGTCACATAAAGACAAAGGACTTTTGGTGTCCCCCCAGGCAGTGTCAGTGTTTCCTTAGTTGCCTAGTGCCCAGTGTTTCCCAGCAGCCTCGGCCAGACCCTTTGCCAGCTGAGCCAGCCTGGCTGCAAGCAGTATGTGTGCAGCATGGCCACGTCTCTCCTGCTGGAGATGGGCTTTGGCTCCCTCCTGACCAGTGAGGTGCTTGTCCAGTCATGGAGGTTCAGGCCAAGCTAGTGGCCTGCCTCATCCCACTGTTTTTTTTAGTGTCCAGCCTCTGCTCTGGCTTCTCTAGAGTTTCCTATCAAAAAGAAAGAGAGACCTGCAGGGAGACAGCTTCCTTCAGGATAGCTGAGAAGGTCAGACTGGCAGTGAGGCTGCAGACCCCGGTGCCTATAGACTTTTTTCTGCATGTGGGTTGTGGTGTCCTGAGCTTGGGCACACCTGGGTGTCCTTGTGTGTTTCCCACCCGCGCCTTCCTCTGCCTGTTATGAATGTTATAACATATGTTCTGTGTCTGCGTTCCAGGAGAGCGCTCCCTTTGCTGTCATCGGCAGTAACACCGTGGTGGAGGCGAAAGGCCAGAGAGTGCGGGGACGGCTCTACCCCTGGGGCATTGTGGAAGGTGAGCGCGGAGCCTGGGAGCGCATGACGAGCGGGAGCCTGGCAGCCAGGGCAGCACGGAGGCGGGACGGGCAAGGGGCTGCGGGGAGAGCGCAGCCTCTGCCGCCTCCGCAGTCCCGAGCGTGGGGCAGGGTTCACATGCAGGCCTGATCGGGAGGCCCGTTGCTGACCTGTGACGAGCACACAGCAATTGCCCTGTCTCTGAGACCACAACAGGGTGGAGAAGAGGAGCTCCAGTCTGAATGGAGGACACTCTGGGCTTTAAGGCAGTAGGACGAGGCCTCTTCTTAAGGGCACTGCCATTGTGGTTTCTGAAGAGAAGCCGCTGCCCTCAGCTGTAAAGCCCCTCACATTCCCTCCTCCTCTGTGCTGCTGTGGCAGTGGCTCACAAGACAGTGTGTGGTGGCAACACACATCTGGAGGCAGGGAGGTCACAGGGGTTTGTGCATGTGGTACTAAGACATCAGCTTTGAGCTCTGCATTAAGCCGTGTTTGCTACAGCCTGACTCTGGTGCTGCTGCCGTGGGGCTGGAGCTGCCACCAGAGCTGGGGCTAAGCTCCCTGCGAGCAGCAGCGAGTCCCAGGGGCAGGGTGGAGGCTGTGCTCAGGCACCGTGTGTTTGTCTCTAGCTTTTTGCCTGCCTAAAGGGAGCCATTTCTTAAATCCCATGGGCAGAATGACCCTCAAATGGGTTTTGCTGCTGTTGCTGACCCCCAGCCATGCTGGCCTGCTGGCACATTGCTTTAAGGCCCCCAAAGCCTGCTGTGCTCTCGTGTGTGCAGCTCAGGCTGCCCAGCTGCTCCGGCTGGCCCACGAGGGCAGTGCCTGTCAGGTGCTGGTGTTCAGCACCGAGCTCCTGGGCCTGGCACAGCCCAACTGCCCCGGCCTGCAGTGGGGAGCATCCGGAAGGGGGCAAGTGGGGCTGGAGCCTCCCTGGGGCTGCCAGACCCGCAGAGAGGTCTGTGCAGCTGTGGGGAGCCCCGCAGCGCGGCCGGCGCCTGGCTCCCAGGGCTGACAGCGGCTGCTCCAGCTCCCCAGCGCTGCCTGCCCAAGGCTGTGCTCCCTTGGGGATGATGCCAGCCCACAGGGAAAACTGCCTTCTTGTCAGGCGGCTTTCAGTCAGTCCTGAATTCTGAGGAGATGCATGGCTTGTCCCTAAGGCTTGCTGCAGTCACTGTGGTTATAACAGCTACCTCCCAGGTACTGGGAGCAGCGTCCTCACTCAGGCCTCTTCTATATGTGCTTAATTAATCCTCTTACCCAGAAAAAGTCCTGGGAACACAGTGACCTCCTCAGCCTGTCTCAAGGTTGACAAGCGCAGTCTCTTGTGGAGCATCAGCAAGGGCTGCACTGGGGCCAGGAGGGAGAGCCCTGGGCACTGGGAGGGAGGTGTGGGTGGATGGAGGGGAAGTGGAAGGTGTTTCAGTCTGGGCTGGGTGCTGGGAACTGATCAGGAGCTCCAGGCTTCCAGGAGAGGACTGGTGAGGTGTGAAATCCAGGCACTTTCCTGTTGTTGCTTCTGCAGTGGAAAACCAGGCGCACTGCGACTTCGTGAAGCTGAGGAACATGCTGATCCGGACACACATGCATGACTTGAAGGATGTCACTTGTGATGTCCACTATGAGAACTACCGAGCTCAGTGCATCCAGCAAATGACCAGGTGGGTGCCTGCTGCTTTGCCCAGGGATAACAGGGGTGTCTTGCTCTCTTTGGATCCTCTTTTCTGAGGATCCTGTACAGAGGCCTTGGGAAATAGGCCTGGAGATAAAAAGTTTGTTTGAGGAGTTTTTCCTAGAACTGAGTGCTAGGAAACCAGCTTAATGGACCAGGGCATCAGCCATCTCTCTGATGGGTGGCAGCTGTGCGCATTGCTGAGAGAGGAAAGTGTCTGTCGTGTCCCCTCAGCAGCTACAGCTCTGCTTGAGTGACAGCATCATTCTCAGGATGCTGCGGTTGCTCAGACAACAGAGTCCAAGCAGTTAACACTTAGTGAGTCTTAGCTCCAAAGATTTCCCTGCCTTGTCTTGCTGTTGTGTTTGATTCTTTGTGGTTTTAATCACAGTGGTCAGAAAACAGGAGAGAACATATGCAAGCCACCTCCTTTTTTCCTTCTTCTCCAACAGAAACATTAGTGACAGACTTTAGATTTAAGCGGATCTTGGCTCCTCTGTTGCAAACTGTCCCCTTCACTTCCTACCTGAACTGGCTGGTAACTGTGCTGCCACGTTGCAGAGCAGAGAAGGCAGCACTTCACTGAGGAACAGGCCTGTGTGTGTGTGTGTGTGTGTGTGTGTGTGTGTAAATGGGCAGGCTGGCAGGCTCAGCTCACGCAGAACTCAGTACTTCTGAAAAACAGATGAATCTCTTCTTCAGCAGTGAGAATGTGGAGTCCCAAAATAACTGTGTGAAATGCTTGACATCTTTGAGAAGCATCGCAGTGGCTATCTGGATAGGATACATGCCTATAAAAAGAAAACAACAAAGAAGCAGTTGCTCCACTAAATAAATGCTTTAAAGCATTTTTAAAGTTTGATACCATTTCTCATGCTTTGGTTAATTCGCTGCTGGTGAATCTCAGAGAAACAGAGTGGCCACTTCTAGCACTGGGATAAAGGTTCATCTCTGGAGAGATTTTTCTGGGAGGAGATCCCATGCTCCAGGGCTGGAAGTGCCTCAGTAATGAGCCAGTGGTGACTCCAAGTGGTGAAAGCCGGCAAGTGGCAACTTCAATTCCAGCCCAGGCCTCCCTATCCAGCTGGCCTCTGCCACCCCCTCTCCCCGCAGGCTGCTGGTGCACTTGAGGGGAGGCAGTATCACAGAATGTCCCCTGTGCCCTGCACACCCAGCCCTTGGGGAAATGCCACGCTAGGCTGTGCCCATGGTCTCACAGCTCCCACCTCTATAGCAACCAGACATTTGCTGTCAGACTTGCAGTGGTTTAAATGCTTCCTTGGTGTAATTTTTCTGAAAAAAATGGCCATGGGGAGTATGCAGAGCCGTAGCAATGCTGACAGGGCAGGCTGATGCTGTGTGCATGTGCAGGATGTGCACTAGAAGGCACCCGCATTCACAAAGGTGGGTGAAAGGAGACCACAGGAATCGGCCACAGGTGTCTCTGGTAAGCCTGCCAGTGCTGTCACATAAGGTGATCGGAAGCACCAACCTTTTTCTGTCTGCTTTTGCTTTCAGTGGTCTGAACACCTGTTTCAGGGTTTTGCCAATGCCAGCTATCCCCAGGCTTCTGTTTTGAAAGCCTGTATTGACTGTGGTCTTCGTGTGCATCCCAGTGCCCCTGTGCCTGGCCACGTGCGTGTGGCCACGTTGCTGGCAGGTCTGTGACTGGTTGCTGCTGGCTCCCCAGCCAGGCAGCCTGCACCAGGAGGAGCATTGCCAGCAGGGTCAGGGAGGGGATCCTGCCCCTCTGCTCAGCTCTGGGGAGGCACCTGGAGTATTGGGGGCAGGTCTGGGCTCCCCAGGACAAGAGGGACATTGAGCTTCTAGAGAGGGTCCAGCGCGGTGTAAGTTGAAACACAGGCAGTTCCACCTCCATGTGAGGAAGAACTTCTTTCCTGTGAGGGTGACAGCCCTGGCACAGGCTGCCCAGAGAGGCTGTGGAGTCTCCTTCTCTGGAGATCTTCCAAACCTGCCTGGATGCCACCCTGTGCCTCGTGCTCCAGGTGTCCCTGCTTGCACGGGGAGGTTGGACTAGATGATCTCTAGAGGTCCCTTCCAACCTTAACCATTCTGTGATTCTGTGAACCACAGCTGACTGCCTTTCCCTCTCCATCTCCCCAGCAAGCTGACGCAGGACAACAGGATAGAAAGCCCTATTCCTATCCTGCCTCTCCCAACACCTGACACTGAGACGGAGAAGCTGATCAAAATGAAGGATGAGGAGGTGAGACCCTTTCCTGCCTCCTTGGTGTTAGAGCTGGAGCCTGAGGAGTTTCTCCCGGATTGCCCCGCAGAGGCTGTCCTGGGGCTTCCCACTCGTCTCTCATCGACGACCTGCTGGCTGCTGATGTGGGGCTGGGATATGGGCACTGTGTGCTCTGCCAGGGGGACCTCAACCCTGTTCCTGCCTGGGCACTGTAGCCTCTCTGAGAGATGCCTTTGCCTCCCCTAAAGGACTATACTGTCACCCCAGGGCCCCTTAAAGCATCTAATCAGCACTGCACAGGGCAAGTGTCCTCTGTCCTGGCAACCACTGTGGTGGGAAGTGCCCGTCAGGGTAGGGATGGATATCCTGGCAGCTGCTCCTGCAGCTTTACCCAGCCCAGCAAGGGCTGCCCACTGTCCTGCCAGACCTAGCAGCAGCCTCTCATCTGCCTGCTCTGGTTCTGGTTTGCTTGGTGCAGTGATGGGGGAAGGATGGGCATTTCCATGGGCAGGAGGGGAGCCTGAAACCCTTCTCACAAGATCCCTACCCCTCTGCAAATCAGTGACCACAGCAGATCTTCCTTTTGACTGTCCGTTCTCTGTCTCATGCAGTTGCGGCGGATGCAAGAAATGCTGCAGAAGATGCAGCAGCAGATGCAGGATCAGTGAAAGGCAGGTGTCTGGAGGGCAAAGGGAATCACCGGGAGACCGTCTGAAGCCTGGCTTGAGCAGTGGACGTTTAAAAAGAGGTTCCCTGTTGTGTAGAGACTTGTGGGCAAGAGCTGCACCCGCACCCTCTAATTTATTGGCAGCAAATGCTGGCTTTGCAGTCAGCCAGGTTGTGGAGGAGGCTGTTCACTTAACAGTTTACTGATGTATATTTCTTTTTTTTTTAATTATTATTCTTGTTTTGTTCTGTTTTGTTTTTATAAAGAAAATAGCCTGGGATGTATCTAAGTTATCCTGAAAAAGAAGAGAGAGAACGATCCCCCTTTCCCATGTACTAATTTCTTGTTTGGGAATGCTCTGGTATTTAAAGTCCTGGTTTCTCTGGTGTACGAAATCAAAGATTATCTGTGTCAATGCACGTAACTGTTTACTCCCAGCTGAGGTGCTGTGCCCCTCTCCCCCTCCCTTCGTCTGGGCCAGCACAGGCATCGTCCAGGCAGATGTTCCCTCCCGCGAGTTCACCCCGCGCTGCCCAGACTTCTCAGCCTGCAGAGAGCAGGGCCCGGGGCATCTCTGTGCACTGACTGCTGAGGAGTCCTGATAGTTGTGTGGTTCCCTGCCTATTATTTTTTCCTTTAGTTGGTTTTGTTTTTCTGATCAACAGACTCCAGGATCTTTGCACTGGCAGGGGACAGTCTCAAGGTCAGCCAGCAGAAAGCCCTTCCAGCACCCTCAGCTGGCTCTCCTGGCAGAGAGGAGCTGCAGACCAGACTGGCTGCAGGGAGGAGATGCGAGTGGCCCCTTTGCAGCCTCCTGGCCGCGCTCTGCTCCAGCAGCGGGTCCCAGGCTGGGGCCTCTTGGCAGCACCTCGCAGAAATGCCAGGGTCCTGCAGTGGCTTCTGCGAGTTCCCCATGGATCTGGTCTTCCCCCTGCACTTTTCTCCAGTGTTTGCTTGGAAAAGTACCATGGCAGCCAGAGTGCTCAGCTGTGCCTGCTTTGGAAGAACAGAAAGCCCAGAGTTGAAAGCCAACCCCAAGCTCACAGCTGTACTCTGCCCCCAAGTTCGCAATCCCCCAAGAGCGTTGCTGGCTCCAAGAGGCAGTTCTGGGGTGTTTGTGCTCAAGCTCTGCGAGTTGCCTGTCCCAGCAGGCTGCCCTGTGGGGACGAGAGGCGGCCGCGGGCTGCGGGGAGCCGGCGTGGGGCAGCGGCGGCTGCACGGAGGGCACTGCAGGGCGAGCACAGCCCTGTGCTCAGCACTGCCTCCCCTGCTGTTTCCCTGGGATGCAGCCCTTCTCCACGCTCCCTGGTCCCCGGCTCTTCCTGTCTCAGTGCTGGGAAGGCAGCTGGATCTGCTGCGGGGAGATAAGAGCGCTCCTTGGGCAGCAGCTTCTGTCCCACTCTTGCTTCCTGCAGTATTTTTAACTCCTAGCGCAGCCAGGGCAGAGCCCGGGAACACAGTGTGTCTGGCCTCACTTGAAACACTGCCGCGCTCGCAGGGAGCCCAGGGCTCCTGGAGGGAGAGACACTTGGCTCTTCCCTCCAGCACCACCCTGCATGGGGACCTCCCGCTCCTCTGGCTCCGGCCCCATCCCTCTGTCCACACGTGTGCACGTTGCTCCTGCCCGTCTCTGGCTCTCCCCAGTAGGTCTCTCTGGTTGGGAATAGCCAGGTGCTCAATTCTTTAGTCAGGTGCGTTGTTCGTCTGGGTTGAGGACCACCCTGCTTTCTGCCCACGAGGCTGTAAGTGTCCTGATCAGAGCTTGCTCAGGAGGTGAGTAGGTTGGCTGGTTCCAGTTATTCACTGTACAGAGCCTCTGCTTGACCAGAACATGGGTCATACAGGCAGGAGAGACCCTGATGCAGCACAGAAGGACAAAGTGACAGAAATGGGAAAGTTGGGCAAGAACAGTGTCCGCGGCAAACCTCTTCAAAGTGACCTTTTGCTGCCTCAGAGAGGTGAGAAGTGGGGCAGGGGCATTGGGAACAAGCTCAGAGGGCAGGGGTAACTTTTCTGCTTAGCAGCATTTTTTCTTTTTTTTTCCCCTGTGTCAGGCAGGTAAGTGACAGCGGCAGTGCCAGGGACAGATGCTTCAGGAGGAGATACAGCCTTTCCTTCTGCAGTTTGCCTATCCGAGGAACAGAGTAGCCTGAGGTGAGAGCTTCCTCCAGGCTTTCTGGAGGAAGTTTTTTTGCTGTCCCAGAGCAGGAGGACTGCTGACTTCTCAGCTTTATTCATGCAGCATAATTGGAAACACCTTGCAGTATCTTTTCTTACATTAGTCTTGTCTGTGAGGAGGATGTTCTGCTGCAAACAAGCCCTGTCCAGTTAGAGATGTTCCTCTTTCAAACAGATCCAGGCCTAAAAGATGGAGACTTTTAGTCTTTAGCATTGACATAGGAGAGAACACAGCCTTTACCTTGGGCTATGTGCTGGTGAGATGCAAGGGTCAAGGGCAGGCAAGAGTATTGCTGAGTAGTTAACTGCTTCCTCTGGGTGAGGAAATCTCCATCAGCTCAGTGCATGTGGTTCCCAAATCAAGTTGATACTTGCAGTTCCACTCTCTCCAGAGAGTCTTCAACTATCTGCTGGCGAAGACAGTTTGAGTTGCACTCGGAGAAAAATGCAAACCAACAAGGCATTAGAGAGCCAGCTTCCACAGAGGGGTGTGGTACTGCTGATACCTGTGTCCCCGCATGAGGAGGTTCCTGTCCCAGAGCATCAGAGCTGGGGGCTGCAGGGAAAGTGTTAGAGACTGAATTCTGCAAGGGCACCAGAGGTGCAGCCTTTGGCTCGGTGGGCAGCATGCATTTATTAAAGCAGGAAGCTGTGTAACTCAACTGCGCTGTAGTGGAGAAGGGGCTCCTGAACGAATGCAGCTTGGCCGCTTGGCTCTGGCAGCCATAGAAGCAGCAGAGTGTGGACAGAAGGTAATTAAACACCCCTCTCACACAACCCTCCACAACCTCATGCGCAAACGGGCCCTTTCCCTCTCCTTTGCCCCGCGGAGCGAGTCACCGTGGGAGCTGCATCCCGCACCTTGGGCAGAGCTCTCGGGGTGGAGGGTGCGTCCAGAGCCGCGCGGGCCTGGGGAGGGAGCCAGGAACCACCGTGTGCCGCTCCTGCCCGTGCCGTCCCCCCCTGACTCCCCGCATGCCCCTCGTGCTGTGCAATGTGCCCTGCTCCCTCCTCACCACCCCGGCTCTGCTGTAACGCTGGCCTGCTCCTGCCATGCGACTTCCTCATCCCTCTGCTCCATTCCTAGGCTCTTTGTTTCTCGGCCGTCTGTTGGATTGTTATAATATATTTTTTTTGTAAATTTCTGTTTGAACATTTTGTCATTGTGAACAAAGAAAAATGAAACCTTTTAAACATATCCATTTTATTAAATGATTATCGTTATTATTATTATTATTATTATTAATGTTTACTACCTGAATTGATCAGTGAAATAAATACATTCAAAAAAATCCACCTACTTCTGTTTGATTTTTTCAGTCCCTTTGAGTGTAATTGGTGATACATTCTTGGGCAGGAGCAGCAACAATGGACTCTGTTTATCCTTTGAACTAGTGTCATTGCAATAGGCTCCAGGCAGGACTCCCTGCAGGGAATTTCTGGCCTCCTTTTATGTGAGAGGCTAGACAAGATGGTCCTACAGGTCTTCTATCATTAAGTTTCACCTAGAAGAGGTGGCAAGAGACTTGGACACTGGTGAGTAAACTTGTCCCTGTTGTGGTCAAGCTAATAGTAAATAGAAAGTACTGCAAGAAAAGCTGGGTTGGTTTGTTTCTGAATTCTCTTAACAACAACACATCCCGAGCGTTCATCACTTCTGGTCTGATCAGTCTCCTCCGTTACACTGAGTACCAGCGTGGGCAGTGCAAGGTCATGCAGAGCTGGGCCTGAGAGGGCCACCATTTCACAGTAATTCTAGAGACATCCTCCTTACAAAGGGCATGGCTGGTGCACAGAGTGAGGCCCAAGGCAGGAAAAATATGTATGAAGATGTAATGGCCTTGAGAAGATGGGGTTCTAACTATACAACTTTCGTATATTTTTAACCTTGGACTTTACTGCTAAAGTACTTCTGTGCTGCAGCTTCTGAGTAAGAGATGTGGCCAATCTTTCCTGGTAACTGCAAGTTGCACACAGGCAGAGCTGCCAACTCATTTAGCTATTAAAAGAGCTGTCCCTGGGAGCACTATCTGGCTCAGCAGCAGCCAGCTGAATCAGTCTGTCGTCCTTCCTGCAGATTCAACCAGGTTTATTTTGGTTTAGACACTAGAAGACTATGAGTTTTATTTGGTCCCTGAAACAAGCATGAGAGAATGCAAGTCCCTAGAAGAACTTTCTCCCTGTCTGGACTACTGAAACCAGTGAGGTCTGCAGATCTTCCACTGCTTTTTAAGAGTAGTCAAGGAAAGCCTCAGGGTCAGCACACTGCAAGGTGTTAGGCTCAATATGTTATTGAAAATAGTCTTGATGAGATGGGAAACCAAAAGCCACAGTGCTCAGCAAGTGCAGTACAAACCAGATTAAAGCATATTTTAAGTAATTACTTTGCAGTTGACACTCAATTATGTTCTTATTGGAAATGGTGTCCTCCTTTATCTCCTGGCCCAGGCCATTTGGATCTGTGTACCCGATGTGTTCCCTAGCTCTGCTCATACATAGTGAATCTTGTCTTTAAAAGAGAAAATCAAAAAAATGGTGGAATTAGGGTTGTCATGCAGAGGAAGTGATTCTGGCAAAGAAAAAATGAAGTACTTACTTCCTCTTGCAAACTATCGTCCCACCTTGGCTCCTTCTTGTCTTAGTGCTATTCAGGGATAAAAGTGTGCAGGTAAAGTGTGTTTCTTGGAGTTATTGCTTATTAAAATTATTTTAGGGTCTTTGCAAAAATTGTATAAAAGAGACATACTTAGGAAATTTATATGAAGCATTACCCAGAGCTTTTAGTAGCTGGCACTGAGCTATACTGGGGTCCCAAACTTCATGGCCCTGCAGGAAAGCTGCTGCATCCAGCCTGCAGCTCCCGTGTTGCAATGCCCGGATTCTCTCCAGTGCAAAGGGAGGGGAAATGCCCCCTACTTGCCAAATTGCACAGGAAG